AATACCTCTTGAATATTCACTTTCACAAATATTTTTCGAAAGTGTTTATTTGCTTAAATATAATGTTGTTGTTTTTTTTGTATTAAATGACTGATGCTAATCTTTTGAAACAGCTGATTTAAGTCAATCGAATTTAAAAAATTTCATGCAAAAATATTTAAAATCAAATAAGTACCCGAACGTTCAGATGTATCTGACATTTCTTCTTATTTCTGTCTGGTTTTTTTAATCATCCTTTGGTTTTTTCTCAGACTCATTATTGATTGACAATTAAAATAGATTTATTTGCTATAGTTGTTGTCACTTGTTTGCCATACTTCGTGTATACGGCTACTGAACAAAACCAGAAGGTGATAAATTATTTTATCTTTCAATACACTATCAATCGTATTAACAAGATCTGCGTTGAATAGTGTTGTTGAAATCGAATGTGCTGAAGTAGAGTGTCAATGCGTCTATTCTTCACTCATATCATCAAATTATCTCTGTTATTTATTTCACTTAATTAATTGACAAATCAGGGCTTAATGCAAGATGAGACGAACCTATAAAAAATAAAGTTAGGATAAACCAATCAGTGACCAGTTGGGAAGAATAATAGAAAACATCGAGTCGAATATTTTAGGAACTAAATCCAATGGGTTCTATGAAATAGTTGTTTCCTCTATCTTTTTTTCTTATCCTCTTTAATGAATAGATCCCATGAACAAAATAATAAAAGATTTCATCGATCGAAAAGACACATGAAACAGTGACGCGTCGTTTTTTGTATGAGATTCTCTAGTTCATATATATTACTTATCGATTTATTTTAATAAACAAGAAATAAATCATGATAAATATTATGTCATAGAAACTCGATAGTCCTCGAAATATATATAAACAGTAGACAACCCTGACTATTTTAATATTATAAAATAAAATTTATTCTTTCTAAATTTTCTCATCTTAAATTTTAAAACATAATTTAGAATTCTTTATAAAAATAATTTCCTAAATTATTGCCTAATTTATATTATAAAAACATTAACAAACCTTTATAAAAAGCTCTTAAACCTTCTCCACGATATATTTTCATAATACAATCCACAATTGATTGATATTGATTTGTTTTACGTATAGTAAGTCGAGTCTATCAAAACAAAACAAAACAAAACAAAACAAAACAAAAAAACTTGTCATTTAATAAAGAAACAAATCTTATATATAACTTTAATTGTTTTCATTGGATATATTAATGCACTAGCCGTAAAACCAGCTGCTGAACCACATAAAAATTTTTCGAAAACATTTATTTCATGTGTTTGTGTTTGTCCAACTAATCTTTTAAATGTTTCATATGACATAAGACGAATACCAGTTTCTGGTGATACTTTAATTACATTCATTAAATTACCACGCCATAATGATTTAATGCCACCTTCTTTTACCATCGAACTTAACGTTGTACGTATTGTCATTTGACCACTTGCATCAAGACCATAAACTAAAATTAATAAATAATTATTAATTAAAAACAAAAACAAAACCAATGATTAATAACCTTGAAAAAATGTTCGTAAACGATCAATAGGAGCTGTACATGTTCGACTAGTACCACCAGCAAATATACCAGCAGAAAAATGCCTTAACCAAAGTAATTTTGGTTCATCTAATGTACCATTTATGCTCTTCGTCTTCATCCTTGAATAATTAAAAACATATAATAATATAAATTCAATTTTATTTTATTAAAATAAAAACGAATAGTTTTCCATTGATCAATAAAATCGAGACTAGATATTCACACGAAAATACTACATTTTTCACATGCTTTATTCTCTTTTTGTTGTTGTTTTTTTTTTTGTTTATCTTATTCTAATATAACACATTAGACTAATACTAATACAATAAACAATACAAAAGAAAAAGAAATTTGAGCTGAGTATACAAAAAAAAAAAAAAGGA